AGTAATAAGGGTTTAGTAGGTTTGTGCATCAAACTGGACACTAATCAAAGGTTAGAGTCGATCCTCCTGTCAGTCGTTCCAACCAGAATCTGATCTATCCATTATCTATTTTCTAACCCGACCTCCTTCCTCCTGTCCTTCACATTTCTCTGACTTGCTGCGAACCGTCTGTGCCATCTGGCTGGGAGTGATGTCACCAGCTGTACCAGGAACAGTTTGTTTCTCTGGAAATGCACTGCAATTATCAGCGGCTGGTGGTTTCAGGTCAGCAGTGCGCACAACTGCCTGAGCCTCCATTCAGTCAAGTCAGTGTATCTCAGCACTGAGAACCAATGGAGGAAAGAAAAACGGTTCCTGAACCGCTTTGACGATGAAACAACTGATAATGTTAAGCCTCATAATGGAGCCCTTACAGTGTGTTTTCTGTGCTGTTTCAGTTCTGTGAGATTGTTGGCACTATCTTGGACTCTGATAAATCTCCAGTTGGCCTTCGATGTGCTTCCCCTCACCTCCCTTCCTGCTCTTCAAAGTTTACTTCAGTCCGTTCTCTGAAGCAGTTGTGTGTCTTTATCACAACCATGTTTACAGCCTGGACCAGGATTAAAGGCCACTGTGTGTGTGTGCGCATGTGTGTGTGTGTACGTGTGTGTGTAGCGTTAGAAAGGCAGGGTGTGTGTTCAGTCAGTCATGGTGAGTGAAGTGTGACGTTTGGCAAGCCGAGCGCCTGTTTGCCTTTATTGTCCAACGTCCAAACTAAATGGCAGGAAATAATAAAGGGAGAGACCAGAGAAAAACAAATAACCGGTTTTTGAGGTATTTTTTAAATAATGGTTTGGGAGGAAAATGACTCAACTTCAGCTGTTCTACGGTTTGTAACGTCAGGGCGTTACTAGGGCTGCGTATTGTTACCGGTGCCAGTAAGAGTTTAAGTACTGATACTAAAATATCCTCAGCTTGAATATAGATACAACTGTCTATAAAAGCCTTTTAATTAATTCAAAACATCTTGAATGGCTCAGTCATAAAACAACTAAAATAAACAGAATTATAATAAAACACAGTCTAAATTTTCCCAGACTATTAGTTTAGCCGATAAGGTAAATGATGTTGATCAAATAAAGGCCAAGAGGTGGAACTCCTATGTGTGGTTTGACTGTTAAATAATAAGTCTGATGCTGTAGTTCAGTTTTATTTAATTATATTTCATGTTATTTGATCAATTTAAAACTTTCAGGAATGTTTTTGCCCATTGGCCAGTGTGTACCATGTGTTCCATGCATGTACGCTGTGGCTCACATTTTTACTCACTGTAGTCTCATTTTTAACTAGAATATAAAGTTTTGCACCTCTGTGGAAGCAGCGCAAGAGAAAACCTCAAATGTTAACTGTTTGCAATGATTATATAATACCTTAAACCATAAGAAAATGAAAGTTAAATATCCGTGGTTATTTATTTACCAAATTTGAAAAAGCTTGAAATCAACCCATTTTAAAAGACAACATGCTTTTCAAACCCACTGGCAGGTTTTGGGGTGTAGAGGGTTAATATTCTTACCTTGTATGATTAGAATTCAATTTAAAGCATGTCAACTACACAAAGCTCACTTTTTGGGCTAGAAAAATGTCGTTGTAGTGGTGATAGACGATCAAGAAAAAGTTGCACGACTTAGTGTGGACACAGTCGTAACTATTATCTTAAAATGGATATTGATTAATTGTTTTAGAACTGAACCAGGCTGAAAGGTTCCCAGCTGAAAGTACATTTTCCAGAGGTTGTTTTTATTAATGGCGAATGATAACTGTACTTATCTATAAAGCATAAATCTTAGTTAAATGTACAAACCTTTACCAGAGAGGATCGTAGTGTTAGTTATTGTTTCTGTGGACTAAAATAGCGCAGGTCATCTCTGGGTAAGATCTCGTGTTGAGTTATGTGTTTTGCTGCTCTCAGGGCTGAACCTCTCTCACTGAAGTATGGACACATTTCCATCTGAGGTAAATGGAACTCTCTCTTAATCTCATGCCAACCGTGTTCCCTGTCATCTCCACATGCAGGAGGCTCAGATAGGAAACAGATTTCTCCTGGCGGCTGTTTGATTCAGGATTATTTACAACCTGCTGAGGATGGCTCGCTTTGGCTCCATGAAGCCCGGCAACACTGTTCTATTCCCCTCTGTATGTCTCCTGTTGTCTACCTGCTGGACCGATAACATTGTCCTAGTGGGACGTTTGGATGTCAAATGCAGAAAAAGCTGTTGGCCTTCTACTTGATTCCTGTTTTTATTTGGCAGAAACTCTTCTATGGGGGAAAATATCAGCCAGACTCATAAAAGTGACATTCAGTTCAAGTTTGTGTGCTATAGTGGGTCTGTGTGTGGTGTGCGAAGGGCAGGACATCTACGAATGGATGTTTATGTGTGTTTGCACAAGACATCTGCTATGTCAATAAGCCAGGCTTTTCTTTGTGGGTGTGTCAGCTGCTGCAAGTGTCAAAGTAGAGTCCAGAGTTTACATCATAGTCTGTGGGCAGTCATCCGACTCTGTTAACCCTTCTGATGCAGCTTTCACTGACTCTTAATTCTGTTTTAATCCTCTGAAGTCCAAGTAGTTTGTGCGTTTTTACTCCTGTCACATTTTTTATTTACTGTAGACACATTGTTAACTGCAGTATAAAGTCCTGCATCTCTATGGAAACAGTACAACCATGGCTCCAAGTAGAGAGGACTCAAATATGTCTTTTGAGCAGCATGACAAAGTAATAATACCATAAATAAAAAAAAATAATGTACGACACTTGAATGTCTTCGATGATTAATTTTATTTAGACTATTAATGTTTTAATGAGACATGGAATTAGGGATGCCAACTTTGAACATTTTCTAAAATTCTAATTGGCAGCCTTATTAATTATCCATCCATCCATTATCTATACACCGCTTAATCCTCACTAGAATCATGGGGGGCTGAAGTCTATTCCAGCCGACTTAGGGCGAAGGCAGGGGACACTCTGGACAGGTCACCAGTCTATCACAGGGCTACACTTAGAGACAGACAACCAAGCACACTCACATTCACACCTACGGACAATTTTGAATCACCAGTTAACCTCAGCATGTTTTTGGACCTTGTGGGAGGAAGCCAGATATCCCAGAGAGAACCCACGCTGCACGGGGAGAACATGCAAACTCCACACAGAAAGATCCCGGGTGTCCTCACCGGGACACGAACTGGCAACCTTCTTGCTGCGAGGCAACGGTGCTAACCACCTTATCAATCATTTATCAATAAATTCTTTCCACAAAATTGATTCCAGAGACATGACTCCATGTAGCTGGTTTGAATGGAGGCCACTAAATGTATGCTGCTACAGCAGGCTTTGTCACATTATACGGGCCAGTCGAATGGCTTGGACCATCAGCCGCTAAAGCACAAAGCTGCTGTCATGGTGCACTTTAGCTCTCCAACTGAAAGAGAGCTCTGGCTGGCAGACATTAGGGTGTCACATGAGACTGTCTCATGGTGGATCATTAGTAGCATAACTCCCACAGTGCTCTCTGCTTTCCATCGCAGAACTGCAGGTAGTCAAAGTGACCGCTGTCTGCGGTTGCTACAGCGCCAAACAATAAGAGGCTCCACCGAGTGGTGCAACCAGGTACTACAGCTAACGTACACTACATTTTCTGACCTGCATTTCCTTTATCCTCTGCCTTATCAGTTAGTGTATGTTTAATCAGTTAAATGATTAGTAACAGTTAATCAATAACTGATAATCATTAACATTCTAGGTACAATAAAATGATTTTCATAAAATATCACGATTTAAAGCTTACACTGGGTTATTTTTTCTGACTAAGCTGTGCGTCATACATGATACGTTAAAGTAGAGTTTAAAATCAGGCAGTTCTTTCTGTTTCTTAGGTGAAATTTTTTTAGGTTCTGATAATTTGTGTCATTTTGGTAATAAAAGAACAACACAACATGCCTCGCAAACCCACTGACAGGTTTTTCAGAGGTTCAACAGATAAGTATACATGGATCAAATCTGCTGCAAATGTACGTTCTAACTTTTTAAATAACCTTATTTGAGAAAGAAAGTTAGCTGAAAAACTTGTGCAAAAATGTCCTCATTATTGCACATGTCAAACTACTTCATACAAATATATACATACATATTTAGTGCAGCAGTCTGTATTTGGTTTCTGAATGCTGTTAAACAGTTGCTCAAAGGGAATCTTGGAGTTTGTTGGGTTTTTCTCTATAATATATTATAAGGCCTTAGTCTCACTGTGGGAAGTGTGTTGAGATGACTTACGTTGTGAATTTCCATGTGAAAAATATAATAAAAGTGAATTGAATTATGAAAGCTAATTAAAACACTTGCTGTGAAAGTAGAATGTAACAGTTTCTGTAGGCATCCAGTCTGCAAAGTTTGACAACTTGGTTAAATTGTGTGTCACTGCCCATGCTCTCCATGGACAAATGATTGTTTGAACTGGAAGGATGCAGTGGGAGGCTCGCTTTGATTGATGCTTAAGGTAAGAGCAGTTTGGTCAGACAGCAGAGCAGACAACGTGAGGATAGTGAACAAGCAGTCTCAAAAAACCAAAGACTGCTCAGTTAACTGTTTTTGTTTTTAAAGCCTTCATGATTGATGCAATATGTAACACTTCACTTTGGTCAAATTCAGCTCTTTTATCCCTTTTAGATGACTTTCAGGATTTTTTTCCACATAAATGTCAAAGAACAGTGCAGGAGTTAGCGTGTTATTGCAGTTGAAGACGACTGCAGACATTTTGAGCATCCTGCTGCTGACAGCTGAGATGTTTGTGTGTCTGTTTTTGGGCTCACACTCACACAGAGAGCATTTGTTCAGCTCCCCAGCCACAGATTTCTGTGTGTTTGGCAAGGAAATGAACAACGTGCCAAAGTGTGATTTATGCTTGTGCATATTTGTGTTCATGCAACACTATCCTTCCTTCCTCCCTCCCTCCCTCCTCCAGTCGACATACGGGAGATCCGGGAGCTGCGGTTGGGGAAGGGCTCCCGTGACTTTGAGCGCTACCCGGAGGAGGCTCGTAAACTGGACTCCGCCCACTGCTTCATCGTGCTCTACGGCCTGGAGTTCCGCCTGCGGACCCTCAGTGTGGCTGGTCAGTGTGTGGCTTTCTATGTTTCTACCAGTGTGTTTCAGATTCTGCTCATTTTCTTTACAGTCCTGTCTGCCACTGAAGTAGAAGTTAACGTCACTTATCATCTTTACTTTTACTCTATTTTTCTACTCACTTTCCCTGATACATGATGCTGCATTGTTGTATATTTTTCTTATTGTCAAAATCCCCCAAAAGATGAAGACCAGTGCAGTGTCATTTTTTACCCAGAAACCCACTGGTACTATTCACTGGAGATTCTTAGATGATTCATTGGATTAAGATCAATTAGCATGACTTTTAAAGATTGTTTTTTGTGTCATTTTTAAGCAAAACAAACAAACAAACAAACAAAAACACAGGAACCACCTTTTTAAATTAGTTTTTTTTTTCTTTCTAGTTTCCTAGGTTTCTTTGATAGTAAACTCAATATATCTAAGTTTTGGCCAGTTTATCAGACAGAAAATGGCATTTCATTTTGTTACTAAAGACAGTTGCAGCTGCATAAGCACACATTGATTTGTAACTGGAGCCTCATTAATTACACACACCTGGCAAAATTAAAAGGTGACATTGATTTAAAAGAAAAAAACAAAAAAAAACCCCCACAACATTCAGTTTTAAATGAGGTGAAATGAGCTGGGTGATAAAGTTGTCTATGATGGACAGCTGCATAGGTTACTTAACTCTGAACAAAAATTAAGCAATCTGGTAAGAAAAAACAACTTTATAACAATGGAATTAAATACAATTCAAACTCTTAATGTTTCCCTGTACAACAAGAGATGATCCGTCATAGTTTATATTGTATTTTATTGGTGCAAATTTGCAATTAATCACATTATGTAGACACAAGTGTTAGGGAGGAAACAGGAGATTTTTCTGGGGCAACTCGTGGTCAAAGCCAACTGGTTCCTACTGAAGACGTGAATCTGAAAAACACGTCCCGAATATCTAGTTTCATTTCTTAAAAAGTAAAAAAAAACAAAACAAAACAAAAAAAACGCCATGAGGACACTATTGTTTGTAGACAGGAGAAAATAGTGCTTTTGTGGGAAACTATTTCCAGTGTATTAGTCCACATTTCACTTTACAGCAACTTTATTAAGAATTGGATTTTATTTTGAAAGATTTTAAACGACAGTAAGCTCAATGGTTGAGAGGACGGAAGATAAATCAAGCTTTGATTCACAAATTTTGTTATTCGATTGCGTTTAGTGTTTTTTTGGGTTTTTTTTTATTAGGATTTGACGACAGTTGCAAAGATATAGAATATCAGTGTACTTACCTATTGTTGACAGGATCCATTTATTATAATCTCCCCTGACTCCCCTCTTTTTATGTGATTATACCAACTTCCATATTGTTCTGATGTCTTATGATTTTATTTGTAGAGCAATTTGACAGTCCCAGTGTAACACGAGGCGATGCGCTGGGAAACCACCAAAGAAATTCAGAAATTGTCTTACCAAACATGGTTCTGTCATCCCGTGTCTCTGTGTTCACAGCTTTCAGTGAGGAGGAGGTCAACATGTGGATCACTGGACTCAACTGGCTGATGATGGACACCCAGAGAGCTCCGGCGCCACCACAGACAGACAGGTGTGTGTTTACTAGTATAGAGCTACATCTCAGTTCCTCAAAGGATCACTTCTTGGTCCTCATTTGACTCTCAAATTGTTCCAGTCTGCCATCTTAAAGGCCAGAATTTTTCCTGAAGATAAAGTCTTTTACCAACATCTTCTCCACTCTATGGGAAACTGCAGCTGATCTGTCTGATCACAAGTCAGTGTAGTTTTATACCAAAGTGACCCATAACAGAGCCAGCTCCACTACTAATGTCAAGATTTGGATTTATAGTAGTTACAAATACTGTAGGTTTGATTGGGGGGGGAAAAAAACCCCATAAACAGCGTTCCTCAATCATTTGAAAAACTTTCCTCTATATCAGCGGTCCCCAACCTTTTTTGCACCACGGACCAGTTTCAAGCGAGACAATTTTCCAAGAATGGATTTTTGCGCACATGACAAGTAATAATCGTTTTCTCTTTCAAAAAAGTGTCTTAAAAGAATAAAACTATTTTTTATTGCTAAATATGTTTTTACTTTTTCTTTTGTCTCTTTCTCTTTTCGAGAAGCTTGCCAGAGAAGCTTGTTTTTTTAATTCATTTCAGCAGCGGTTAGGCTGACAGCTCCATTTAACAGCCGGGCATTAAAACTGACACAGTCAAGTGTGGGAAAGAAGCACAGGCGGAAGTGAAGGTAGATGAGCTAATCATTTTTCAAAATAAAACACCCTGCAGACTCTGTCGGAAATAAATTAAAGCAATAAAATGTTTTTATTCTTTCTGTGCGGCCCGGTACCAAATGACCCTCGGCCCGGTACCGGTCCACAGCCCAGTGGTTGGGGACCGCTGCTCTATGTGATCTTCTCTCCTCTCTATGTGTCTAATGAATCATATTCAAGGTAGTCAGGGAGAGGAGGAGTTTCTCTGATCGTTTACATTCTTATCCATATTCTTAAATTGTATTGTGGACTCCTACATATTTACTAGCTTTTCTACTTGTGAAGTGTTGGAAGCGAGAAAACTGGGCAGTGTAATCTGAGTAACTTTAATAAGGACCTAAATGTGGTGGTAGACGACTGGATCAGAGCGTCTTCAAAGCAGCAGGGGGTTGTGGGAGAAACCTGGATGAAATTAGGGGAATTGACATGCTCCCTAGGAGGGGGGATGCATCTGGCAGTTTGTACAATTCACTGTGTTTCACTACCTCAGCAGTATCCTACTTTTCACTCTACCTTTCAGGTGAAAAACTCTGTGTGCACAGTGCATTGTAAGATGTTAAGCAATCTCAGAATAATGTTGATAATCGTGACAGAAACCTGATAAAAATTTGCTGATAGCAGTGTAAGTCTAACAATCATAACCTTTATTCATACAATAACTTCTGAATAAATAAGATTTAAGCGTTTCATTTACAACTAGGTCAGTAAAATTAGAACTAAATTAAATGAAAGCCGGCACAGTCAAATATTATTGCGACTGCAGCCATTAAAGCACGTGTCAGCACTTCCTGTGTGTGATAAAGTGGCATTTGCTTCCATCAAAGAAACAGTGACCTGGACGTGAAAGGGAGTCGCAGGTTGTAGGGGAGGACTAATATTTGTTTTGGGATGAAAATATTTACCCCAGATGAATGTACGGAGGCTCTTATTAGCTTCCGTGGTGAAAGCGGGAGAACAGAGAGACGTTGTGTCGGAGAAAGACGCAGTTTAGTTTTCGACATAATGTGAGTGGTTTATGTTTGGAAGTGGTCAGGAAATGAAACTGCTAATTTTGTCTGTTTATGAAGTAGTGTAAACTGTTTGGGGAGAAGACCCATCAGCTGAATCGGATTTTCTTTAACTGAATGTGAAAATAGAGGCTGGTCTTATTTAGACTCAGGCTGTTAGTGTCTATTTACAGTGTAAAGCAGAGTTTAAATATGAAGTCTCTCCAGTTTGGGGAAGGAAACTTGAACTACAATGATACTACATGTATTGTGCGTATTTTTTCATTTTTCCAAAGAGGTTAAACCGTTTGTGGACATATGTGGGAACTATAAGCTTCAAGAGTCTGTGTGGGCATTTCCCATGACATTTTCTGTTTTACATTTGCTATAATTGCATATATCCTATTAATATTTCCACAGGGTTTTCCCCTTTTTCATCAAGCCCATGTAACATTAGCTTTAAATCAATCAAAGACATCTGTGTCTTTTCAACATTCAACTTTTCAGAGGCCTGTGTGTTGTTAAGTTTTGTATTTTAGTCAGAAAGTGGAGGCTGGTTAGTCTAGCGTGACAATGTTCATGCATATACTCTGATCTGCTACCTGCTTACTATATTGTAGGTTCCTCTCATGCCAGCAAACAGTTCTGAGCAATTTGAACTCTAAAGTCATCTGAAGGTGTCCTGTGGTATCAGGCACCAAGACTTTAGCAGCAGTTCCTAGGTGAGGACTTTGTGGCTCAGACTTGTTCATCCAGGACTTTCTACAGATGTTCGACATTTGGAGACACCTTGAACTCTTTTTCATGCTTCTCAAAATATTCTTGAAGAATTTTTCCAGTGTGACAGGGAGTATTATCCTGCTGAAACAGGCCACTGTCATTAGGAAATACTGTTGGCATGAAGTGGTTGGTGGTAGGTGCCAAAGTAACATCCACATGAATGCAGGAAACATGGTTTCCCAGCACAGCATAGTCCAACGAATCACACTGCATCACTGGTGCACCATCTTTCCATGGTGCATCTGACTGACATCTCTTCTCCAGATAATCAACACACTCAAACATCCACATGATGTAAGAGAAAACTTGATTGATCATACCTGGCTGCCTTTTTCCAGTGCACTCTGTGTTCTGACATTTCTATATTAGCCAGCATGAAGGTGTTCCACAGTTTGTGCTACATTAGTCAAACTTCGTTCCCCATGTGCTTCAGTGAGTCTTGGGTGCCCATGACCCTATCTTTTGGGACTTTTGATACATACCAACTACTGCATACCGGGGACACCCCACAACAGCTGCTGTTTCGGAGATGCTCTGACTCCGTTGCACAGTTTTGGTCCTTACCAAAGTCAATCTGATCCTTACGCTGCCGATTTTTCCTGCCTATAACACATCAACTTCAAGAACTGAAGTTGCTGCCTGATGTATCCCCACAACTGGCAGGGGCCATTGTAACATGATAATCAGTGTTATTTATTTCACTTGTTAGTGTGCTAATGTTGTAACAGATGAGTGTGTACATGCAGATACCACACTGGCCACTGCATGTTCTATATGTTCACTAGGACAGGAAGTCTGTCCACAATTAAAATGGTCACTATTCATTTAGCATTTTTCATGTTTTGACCATCCATCCCCCAAACTAACATCAAAATGCATTCAGTCAATTGTACTTGATCAAATTTCATCATTCTTTAAACAGTAATACATAAAGCCATGAGCCATTTGCATCAACTTGACTGGAAACATGAAAAAGCTACCTGGTGGCAACGTTGACAGATGCTATATGGAGCGTTAGCTTTATTAGACCTGTAGCTACAATTTTACAGCTACAACTTGCATTTCAGCCAACAAAGCTGACAGTTGGAGGCTAGATGCTAGATAGCAATGGCAGATTTTGTCAATTTCTGTCAGAAATCAAGAACTTGTTTCAAAATATATTAAAATAGTACATTTGCCCGGTACAATGCTGAGTTAGGTAGAACCAAAAATTCACACCCCCTATCAATGCAGAAAAACTAATACAACTTTTGTGTTTTGTTGCAATATGATCACACATGTCAACTCCTTCGGATGCCTACTCATATCACACAGTGGACAAATCTGTAGGATCTGTAAGTAGCAGCAATATATATTAAATATTAAAATTTTATTTAAAAAAAATAAATTAATTAATTAAAAAGTGATATCTGTGTTATTGTACCAGCAAAAAAAGGAGAATGCGCACACTGCACAGCCTGCGTGTGACACATCGAGGTGGCAGCTTTCAGTGTGTGTGATGTAAAGGAACATTTTAAAAGTAAAGAGGAATACACTCACCACCCAAACCCAATGCCCTGACAAAAGTGATAAAGCAATACAGTCTGCTGATGGCTGTAAGAGGCTTGACTAAAGTTTGACTATGCATTTGTTCATGTTGATTTGTTTAGAATCTGTCGGATTTCATGTACATGTAAGCAATTTAATGGAGAAACAATCACTGTAAGTTCACATGTATGTATGACAAATATAGTAAACACTGAACATATATAGTATATCAATGTATTACTGATTTGATGTACAGTTCTACACACTTTCTGATTTAGGAACAAAACACTTATTTCCGTTTCTAGTAAGGCTGTAGAATGTATTTTAGCTGCAAACCAAACCTACATTTTCAAGCATATGTTGGATTTTAATTCTTTTAAAAATGGCTGTCACTCATGTTTCATTTCTCTCCCCCTGTCACTCCATAGATGGCTGCGGAAACAGTTTGAAGTTATGGACAGGAACCACGAGGGCAGGTGGGTGAGTCGCCGCAAAAATGTCAACACCCAATCACAGCTTTCACAGCAGCCTGTGATAGATGCCCATTGGCTTCTGTGACGCAGCAGGTGGGATGTGAAGGTGAAACCAGATCCAGATGCCATCAAAGAGCATGTTACAGTCCTGTGAGGGATTTGCCCTGACCTCCACCTCCACGCCCCGAAGCTCCACATGTCACGCACACATGTTTCTCTCGCGTTAATAAGTCTGGGCTTCTGTTTGGGTGGAAGGCTCTCCAGGATAAACAGCCTGCCATCGCCTGATAAGGAGCAGGAAGTGATGTGATGGGCTGGGAGTGGGCAGCTTCCTGTCTCCTGTGAAAATAGTAACAGTATCTAGGAGCAGGGGGGAGGATGGGGGAGGCATGGCTCGGACCTGCCACTGACAGCGGTCGTTGACCCCAAACATCGTCTCCGCCTCACAGCGTTGACCTGGATTTTTCTCTCTATCTACTTTTCTTGCTTCCTTCCTCATGTTAGTGATGGCTGACAGATGCATGTGTTTAAATAATCAGGAATATAAAAGTGGTTATCCATGTGCTGTTTGTCAAAAAAAAAGGTGTAATGGTAAAGACATCAGCATCTTGACAGAAGCAACTGTAGCAACATACTTGCAAATATTCATAACAGTTTAAAGACTTCCCATCTGTTAATATGGAGGTTAAAAGTAAGGCTGAACTTTTTTTTATTTTATTTTTTGTCAAACTTCAATATTCACTGTGTAATAGATTTAAAATGTGATTGAGCAGTGGCTGTCACAGAAGGAGGATGACGTGAGTTTGTCAGACCATTAACACAACTTTTTAAACCCAGGGTTAGATGTGCTGCATATGGTATATTCTTAAAATTGCAGCCTTTACAACTTTGGAAACAGTTTAACTTTTAACCCAGCAAAGTTCTGGCTAAACAATCTGTTGACAAAGACTGCAGCTTTTTGCCTTTTAAAGCAGAGACATAATTTTAATCATGATTCTTTCATGTGTGCCACATGCATATTTGGTGATGTATCAGATTCATGTCCAGTCTCACTCTATTCTAATGTATCACTTCTATGCACATCTGCCAAAAACTCCAGTTCTTTAAATGTCAACTTGAGGCTATCTCCAAAATTGAATCACTTCCCATAGACGTCATGTTAAAATGTACAACTCAACAGCAGAAATAAACACGTTTACAACCGGATAAATATATAGCTAATATCCCCTTTCAATGGAACTGTAGGGGCAGTTTTTAATATAACTCCTATACTTATATTAAGACCTAATATGGCCACTTTGGGTGACAGGTGGGTGCCCTCATAGGACAGTTCTCCACCTCGTTGCTCATTTTTGAAATTGCTGGGAGTTAGAATAAGTCAGGTCCTACAAAGATGACAACAGCCAGAGCTACCATACTAAGTTTCAAAACTGCTGTTCAGGAAACATGTGGGTTGATGTCAAGGAGGGCTCTTTCATCTTTATATACAGCCAACAGTCAGCACTTTACACCCATGCATGTATTGAGAGAGCTGATCTGATCATGTGTGATGTGCGGTTCCATCAAGAAAATAATCAAATCTAAACCTGAAATCAGAACATTTCATCAAAATCACTTTATTCTACGTTTCATTTTCAAAAACTGTGCAAAAATAACCTTTTGCAGTAGCCAGATTCTGTAAAAAGCAAAAACTTCTGGGCTCCTCAGTGCAGCTAAAAAAATTACGACTGACTCATTCAGTTGAACTGCAGGCTGTGTTTACAGAGCAGAGAGGAGATAACTAAAGAAACTATTTGAGACTGGGAGGGGAAAAATACACTTAATCAATAAAATAAATTCTGCCTCAAAAATACACTGCTCAAAAAAATAAAGGGAACACTAAAATAACACATCCTACATCTCAATGAATGAATTATTCCTGTTGAAGATCTTTATTCATTACATAGTGGAATGCGCTGAGAATAAAATAACATAAAAATGATCAATGTAAATCAAAATTATTATCCCATGGAGGTCTAGATTTGGAATCATACTCAAAATAAAAGTGGAAAATCATGTTGCAGGCTGATCCAACTTCAGTGGAAATTCCTCAAGACAAGTCAAAATGAGGTTCAGTAGTGTGTGTGGCCTCCATGTGCCTGTATGACCTCCCCACAACGCCTGGGCATGCTCCTGATGAGGTGGCGGATGTTCTCCTGAGGAATCTCCTCCCAGACCTGGATTAAAGCATCAGTCAACTCCTGGACAGTCTGTGGTGGATGGAATGAGACATGATGTCCAAGATGTGCTCAATTGGATTCAGGTCTGGGCAGCGGGCAGGCCAGTCCATAGCATCAATGCCTTCATCATGCAGGAACTGCTGACACACTTCAGTCACATGAGGCCTAGCATTGTCATGCATCAGAAGGAACCCAGGGCCCACTGCACCAGCATATGGTCTCACAATGGGTCTGAGGATCTCATCCCGGTACCTAATGGCAGTCAGGGTACCTCTGGCTAGCACATGGAGGGCTGTGTGGTCCTCCAAAGAAATGCTTCCCCACACCATTACTGACTCACCACCAAACCAGTCATGCTGGAGGATGCTGCAGGCAGCAGAACGTTCTCCACAGCGTCTCCAGTCCCTGTCATGTCTGTCAAATGCTCTCATCCGTGAAATCTTGGTGTTCTCTGGCAAATGCCAGTCGCCCTGCACAGTGTTTGGCTGTAAGCACAAGCCCCATTTGTGGACGTTGGGCCCTCATACCCCCCTCATGGAGTCTGTTTCTGACAGTTTGAGCAGAAACATGCATATTCGTGGCCTGCAGAAGGTCATTTTGCACAAAGGAGGAGGTAGCGGTCCTGCTGCTCGGTTGTTGCCCTCCTATGGCACATCTCCTGGTGTACTGGCCTGTCTCCTGGTATCTCCTCCAGGCTCTGGACACTGTGCTGAGAGACAAAGCAAACCTTCTTGCCACAGCTCACATTAATGTGCCATCCTGGATGAGCTGTACTACTTGAGCAACCTCTGTGGGTTGTAGACACCACCTCATGCTACCTCTAGGGGTGACAGCACTGACAAAATGCAAAAGTGACCAAAACATCAGCCAGAAAGGATGAGAACAGAGAAATGGTCTGTGGTCACCACCTGCAGAACCACTCCTTTATAGAGGTTGTCTTGCTAATTGCCTCTCATCTCCACCTGTTGTCTGTTCCATTTGCACAACAGCAGGTGAAATTGATTCATAGTAAGTGTTGCTTCCTAACTGGACAGGTTGATTTCACAGAAGTGTGATTGACTTGGAGTTACACTGTGTTGTTGAGGTGTTCCCTTTATTTTTTTGAGCAGTGTAGTATATATAGGAGTGAGGGACTGTTCAGTTGTGGATTAATCCATGTTTGGTAGATACATGCACAATGCTTGTAAAGGAAACTCAGTCAGATAAATGCTGGCCTTATCATTACCTCTCAGTGGAGGACAAAGTATAACCCCTTCTACACAGCCAATCCTGCTGAGGCTGAAAATACCCTAGCTCTGTGTGGCTCCTTAAACAACATTACCTCCTGGTGAAAGACACAGGGTCTTTCATTACAAGCTCTTTAGAGGCTTCATTCAAGTATCTTTTATGAAATCCTATCTGCTGCTTGGTGTTTATATCTACTGCACTTGTCTGATGCTTTCTTCTTCTTGTTTGCTTCCCAGCATTACAGTGAAGGATGTAAAAGCTCTGCTGCCTCAGATCAACTACAGAGTTCCCAACACGCGCTTTCTCAAAGACAAGCTGCAGGTCAGAGCAGAATAGAAGGCTGATAAGTTTATTTTAATGTTCTTGTTTTTCTACCTGCAGCTCCTCTACCTGTTTGAATTTCTTCTCTTGGATGTTTTGTCTTGACCCCAGAGCTGCTTTTTGTCACACTAACTCACACCCTCCCTGTTTCCACAGGAGGTGGAGGCCAGGAACGACCTGTCGTACTCCAACTTTGCACAGCTCTACAGAACGCTGATGTTCGACGCACAGAGGAGTGTAAGTGTTACATACAGACTCATGTATACTCACAGCTTGGTGAAACAAGTACTCAAATACTTCACTCAAAAAAGGTGTATCATCACAATAAAAAACACAGCAAAAAAAAAACACTAATTTTGAAGGACCGTATAATATTATTGTAGTTTCACCTCCATAAACTGATATTTTGAAATTAAATTAATTATTTTTTTGTTTTACTCTTTAATTCTCTAAAACTCCAAACTGCAGCAGCAAGGATGCACCATTTATACCCAACAACAACAATATTTTAGGGTCTTATCTGCTTATTCATGCGCTACCCTCCTTTGAAATTACTCAGAGGAAATTTTCAGTACCTTAGAAATACACTTCAGCAAAGTATTTGAGTAAATGCACCAGTACTTTGATGCTTTTCCACCTCTGCACTTGTACCACACCACGCTCACTTTGTCCTTTCCTGTTTATGCCTCACCTGGCTCCCTCCCACCTGTCCGTCACCTGGTTCCTTCCCTTCTGTTCCTCAGATTATTGAGCAGCTGGAGCTCTCCTTTCCTCTGCGGTGAGTCCCTCCACCACGTCTTCTTCCTCAGCATCCCGTCCCTCATCTTCACAACCCCACCGCTGTCCCTCTACCTGTTCACTTTCTCTTTCCAACAGTTTATCAGGAAGCTTTTGGTTTTCAAGAAACATTTCCATGTGTTGTTGCCATTTCAATTCTACTTTAGTGTTTTTTCTTGGCTCTATAAAGTGTGAAACACTTTTTTAATGTTACAGAAATCAAAAAAAATGTCATAATTAGATTTGGCATAGATAAGCCAACACAGTCAGCTGCCAGACAGAAATTTGTATGTTAATTTCCTCTCTCATTCACTGGTACTTCACTTCAGCTTTCACTCATCTGCCATCTGACGTGTTGAACATCGTTGTGCTTTCAGAAATGTTGACAGACCAGAGCTTTGTCAGATCTCCCTCTACGACTTCCAGAAGTTTTTGCAGATGGACCAGAAGGTACTCTGCAAATTCAGCAGCTGTCAGCACAACACTGAAGATACTCTCTAAAACTGCTTTGTACTCACTTTTCTTTATGGTCTCAGGAGTCCTGGGCATCAGATCTGAGTCGTGTCAGAGAATTTCTCATGGGCTACATGAGGGGAGGGCCGCAGCCGGAGCCAATGCTACAACTGGATGAGGTGACACAGTACAAAGAGGCACTAAAACCAGAACAAACTTAAGGGTGTATCTTTTTCCCCACCTTATGATTTGATGTTTTTTCTCTGCTTTTCTAGTTCCTGACTTTTCTGTTCTCCAAAGAGAATTCTGTGTGTGACCCTCGACTTTCACCCGTTGCTCCCGACGACATGAAAAGGCCACTGTCTCAGTACTGGATTTCCTCCTCACACAACACGTACGTCTTATAATCTGTCTTCAGTGTTCACAAATGTTCATATTTCAGATCCTGAGTAGATGCACCTCCAAATAACACTATCTTTTAGTTGTATTGAAAGCAACTTAATGTCAAATCTTCTATTTAACCCTTTGAATTCCAAGCACTTTGTCCGTTATGTGATCCTGTCATATTTTTATATTTTTATTTTGACAAATTGACAAAATGAACATCATGCTGTATTGGAGACTTTAAACTAGCAGTTGAGACCATAAACTCATTAGAAAATGTCTACTAAGATTACAGATCACGTCAGAAGTATTCATTTTCTCATCACCCTCTTTAAAATCTGACCGCGGTGGAGTTGCCCCCTGCTGGGCTGCTGGAAAGAATCGAAATTTAAGTTTCTTCTGCTTCACTTTTTGAAGCTGCGTTCATCTTTAATACACCATCTAACCATTATTGCTTTTTGAAAACACAAAATTAAATGTGCAAATGAGTTTCAAAACTGCCCAGTTTGTGGTTTTGTCCTAAACTAGGCTACACATGTCACACTTATGCTGAATATCATACAGACTCATTAATTAGTAGATCAATATGAAATTAAAACACAATTTTGATTTAAATCAGTTAATCATTTGATTTCTCAATCAAGTAAAAATGCTAAACATTTACTGCTTTCCAAACCAGTTCCTTATTCCAATATATAAAATGAATCATCTTTAATATCTGTGAAAGACAGTAAAGTGTACAATTTTACAAATTGTCGAAGCATTCCTCTACTGTATTCATTTTCCATGAGCTTAATTGCACAATCTTGTTCTATCAGCTACCTGACAGGTGACCAGTTTTCCAGTGAATCATCTCTAGAAGCCTACGCTCGCTGTCTGAGGATGGGCTGCCGCTGCATTGAACGTGAGAGACGCAAAGTTTCTTGTCCTGTAAATGATCAAACTTGCTTTTTTGGCCTCACCAGCGAGCAAATCCTTACTGCTGTACAATGCATAGAGAGAGAGTGTTGTTCCACACAAATGGGTGTATTGGCCACATCTTTCACTTTCTTCGTGTTTCATTTAAACCAAAAAGATTTTGCATAACTGACAACAAAAATGATGGAACTTCAACCTTTAACCCACACCACTGTAAAATTCATTAAATGGCCATAATAAGCTGTTGCTGAGATGAGCTTTTTGGGGTTTGTACAATAGTAAAGAAGGGGTTTAATTGTTTTTTTTTTGTTTGTTTGTTTGTTTGTTTTTGTCTGGTGTTTTCTGACTATAGCTAAGTTAGATCTTAGTCACAGTAGAAGCCCCAGTTCAGCGTTTAAAAGCCCAGCTACATTTTTCATTTTGTGTTTTCTGATGGTAGTGGACTGCTGGGATGGACCTGATGACCTACCAATCATCTATCACGGCCACACCTTAACCTCCAAGATCAAATTCCTGGATGTGCTGCACACCATCAAAGAACATGCCTTTGTCACATCCGAGTGAGTTCACTATGAGAGTATTCACTTCTAAACTTACCTCGTTGGTACTCACATTGTCTTTTTAGATTGCTAAGATTTCTGCTGCATTCCATTTAAAGGAAGACTGACTCATGACCTTTTCCAGAGTTTGGCACTAGATGTCCCCTGCCTGATGTTGTATCTGTGCAGGTATCCTGTGATCTTGTCCATCGAGGACCACTGCAGTGTGGTCCAACAGAGAAACATGGCCACACACTTTAAGAAGGTGTTTGGAGATCTGCTGCTCACCAAACCAGTTGACAACAATGCAGAGGAGCTGCCTTCACCTTACCAGCTCCGCAGGAAGATCCTCATCAAGGTGCACACACTGTAAAGTCTGCATCTCAGCACTAAAGAGCTCCTGACTTGATAGTCAAGTCTAGGCACATTTCACCTTCTGGACACATTTCCAAATATAAAGATATAGGAATTATCACACACTGATGCCATAGTTTACATGAGAGAACAGTGTCGATCAATTCAGAAAAATACTGCACATTTATTTGATTCTGTACCAGACCTTCATCAGACAAGAGTTTCAGTACAAGGCGAAGCCATCCTAAATAGAGAGTGGCTCTAACTTTACAACCCATCAGCATATCCCACATACTGTAGGAAAGAATGAATTACAAAACATCATTCCACTAAATGTCAGATTTTAATGACATACAGCAAATAGAAATTATAAATGTTTGCATAAAATTGGTAAAATTTAAAGATGTTAATGGTTAAAACCAGGCTGCAAGGTAGCTCGGTGGTTACCACCATGGCCTCGCAACTAGAAGGTCGCCAGTTCGCGTCCCGGTGAGGACACCCGGGATCTTTCTGAGTTTGAGAGAACCCACGCTGCACGGGGAGATGTTCTCTCTGGGTTCTCCGGCTTCCTCCCACAAGTCCACATGTTGAGGTTAATTGGTGATTCTAAATTGTCTGTAGGTGTGAATGTGAGTGTGCTTAGTTGTCTGTCTCTAAGTGTAGCCCTGTGATAGACTGGCGACCTGTCCAGGGTGTCCCCTGCCTTTGCCGTGAGTCAGCTGGGATAGGCTCCCTGCAACCCCAGTGAGGATTAAGCGGTGTATAGATAATGTATAATTAAAACTCCCAAATATCCAAACTACATTTGGCATAATTTGAGTGGGTGGCCATCATGTTTTTAGAATCATGGGATTGCTGCTAAAGTCTCGGTTCTCATGACATCCCAAGTGCCAAGTCCAACATGTATCAGCCACGACAATGACTTGTCTGTCTTCAAACGCACTCAAGACTAAGTACAGGTTAGATTGTGTGACTTCCACACACATACAGTTTTTTGTGTAGTTTGTAATCCAGACAAACAAATGAGTTATAATGATGTGAAATATATAATATAAAAATATAAAGCAGATCTTGTAAACAATCTTAAAGTTCTCATTACGACAAGAAACTGAAGCATATGTATTTTTGTTATGGTGGCAGCAATGTGCTGCAGCTTTCCTTTTGCCTCCTTAGTCTTTGTGTGTGTTTTATGTGTTTGTTTTTTTTTTCCTGGATAACTACTTTAGCTTTCCAGTGTGCTCGGCATCATTGAATGTCGTATTGAGATTAGTTTCTTTGTAGATGTAGAACACAGCAGTAGTTGCTCTTTGAGAAATTTGATCCTAAATTTTCACAGTTTGGTTTTTGCAGATGGAGATTCCAAATACAAAATTCATATTCATTGTGTATAACACAATCTTAGCTTGTGCTCGAGCCTGTGCATTGTGCACAATGGAAGTAGAGAGTACAAAGTTAGCCTGACTCATAGAGCCACAATAGAAACATTAATGAGAAACATTACAGCCTGAAAGCAGTAGTTCTTATTAAATGTGGAAGTTGTCACTGGTGTAGCTCAGCATGTTCTTTTATTATTGTGTCACAGCACAAGAAGCTGGTGGAAGGAACCCTGTATGAAGAGGTGACGTCAGCCAGCTACTCTGAAAACGACATCAGCAACTCGCTGAAGAACGGCATCCTTTACCTCGAAGACCCCATCGACCATGTGAGTGTGTGAGTGATGATACAGAAAACTTCCACTTGACAGTGACTGTACTTGTTGCTGTGTTACTGAAATGTGTCTCTGTGTGTGACTTACAGACGTGGACACCTCACTATTTTGTCCTAACCAGTAATAAGATTTACTACTCAGAGGAGACATCTCATTACCAGACAGCTGATGAAGAGGAGGAAGATGAAGGAAAAGAGGTACAGACATGAAATCAAGAGTGGGTGATGCTCATCTTGCTCACCGTCATTGATTTTTCATTTTTGAAAGAGATAAAAGAATATAATTAGCAGGTGAAGTTGATGCTGTTAATTAACCCTCTGGAACCCATGTAAGTTTGTGGGTGTTTTTTGGTCCAGTCTCATTCTTACTCACCTGTTTTTCACTGTGATATAAAGTTCTGCACCTCTATGTAAACAGTGCAATCATGACTACAAGTACAGTGGGATCAGAAATGTCTGTTTTGTAAAAATGTATAATGTCATAAATCATCAAAAAACAAAAATGTAATTTCTTTGATAATTCTGTGATTTGATTGTTTAATTTGCAAAAAAAAAGAAAGAAACAAAAACCTAGAATCAACATGTGCAGCATTTTTCCAAGTATCCACACGTCATCAAAACTGAAAAAAGATAACCTTACATACCGTTGTTTCAGTAATTGTCTTCTATCTGCTCTGTGTAAACACAGCCTGCAGTTCAACTGAGTTCAGCTTGTAAGTCATTAATTTTTTTTTACACGACTGTTGTAATTTTGTCAATGAAACAGATGACTGTTAATACCTTAAAATGTTGAATACATCATTGTTAGTCTGTGTGTTTTTCATGCTTCATTTGATACAGGGTTTGTAGTAAAATTTGACAACACAATGTTTTATGGTTGGAGGGAAAGTGAACACAGCAGTAAAAGGTCGTCTGGATAAGCGCAAAAATGCACACACTCCCTCCTGTTGGACCCATAGTCTAACTTTGCTCCAAATCTCTTGTCAAATATCACGACACCCTCCTTGCTAATAGACAAACCAACCTGAAAAGAAATTCCAAACACACATTGAACATGATGTACATAATGTTAACTTCAGTGTTTTCATACAATCTTCCTTATAATTTTTCAGGAGTGCAACAACAACGAGCAGCACTGTGCGGAGCGCTGGTTCCACGGGAAGCTGGGTGGAGGTCGTGACGGTCGGCAGGTGGCTGAGAAGCTCCTGCAGGAGTACTGCGAGGGCGGCGCTAAAGACGGCACTTTTCTGGTCAGGGAGAGTGAGACGTTTGTTGGAGACTACACCCTCTCTTTCTGGTTAGTGTGTTTTCTGGAAAAAGTACTAGAAAAAAATAGGAACAATTCTTCAAACATGCTATTTAGCAGATATTTACCTTTGGCACAATAATAATGGCTTTTTTGTGAAATGTTTTGCTATCTCATGCATAAATTTCACCTTTACTTTGATCACAACAACACCTCAAATTTTAAGTATTGACTAATTGTTAAATTAAATTAATAAGAAGAGAAAAAAGCGATGTGGACAAGCTTTTGTTTGGTTTCAGATATCTCTTAACTCAATTAATTTAGTTGACAGTAATGCAATAAATGTTTTTTTTTTTCATATTGAGTTCTTCAAATCACAGTACTAACTCCTTGACTCTGCTCCTCCAGGCGTTCTGGCCGGGTCCAGCACTGTAGGATTCATTCACGTCAGGAGTCTGGCTCCACCCGCTTCTACCTGACTGACAACCTGGTGTTTGACAGCCTCTACCGCCTCATCTGCCACTACAGAGACACGCCGCTCCGCTGCAACGAGTTTGAGATGAGGCTGGGCAGCCCTGTTCCTCAACCCAACGCACACGAGAGCAGAGAGTGAGTGACTGATATCTAAAAAGGCCTCAGTGGTGGGGGAAGTGAGGTGATTCTCATAAAGTATAAATACCAAACTGTACAAATACTTCACTGCAAGTATGAGTCCTGCAGTAAAAAGGTTAGTTAAGTGAAATATCAGCATGGCCAGGAAAATGCACTTTAATTATTATGGATTGATTAAAGTGTAAACCACATTTTACTCAATTATTTTACCAGACTGAAACGAACGACTATTTTCATTTTGCATTGATCTCCCAATTGCTGTGTGTTCTCAACTGACTGGTTTATATAGCCTCATAAATTAGTTTTTAAAAAAAATGCATGTCACAGTTACCTTAAATGCAATGTGACGCCTTTACAAGGTTTGTCTTGTCTAATCAGCAGGCCAAACCACAAAATTATTAAAATGCAACAAAATGAAAAGCAGCTAATCCTGGTGTGTGAGAAACTAAATCCATGAATTGTTTTCCTTTTTTGTATGACCAATGGCTTTCTCTGTGAATACATTTATATTCAGGCTGAATCTTTCAGCTGTATTTGTATAACCCTAGCTCAATAACAAAGCACACACACACACACACACACACACACACACACACACACACACACACACAAAACACATTTTAAAATCTTGAAAGTTTTTTTTTTGCAAAAATTTGAATTGTGATGTTACTATAGCGGTCAAATACATGAAGTAGAAAGTACAGTACTGATGTAAATTGTAGTATTGTAGCAGTATTGTAGCGAAGTTAAAGTATCTTGGAAAAGCTTAGAAAGAAAATATTCAAGTAAAAGACATTGATCTCATATTTGTACATCAAGGACAAAGCCAGTTTATTTCCACCTGTCCTATTTCCCATTGTCACAGCATTTTCTGTCACTGGTAGAGATTTTTGTAACAAAACAGCAACCGCATGATTGATGAACTTTTATGAGCAGTGGGGGTGTGAAATGACCCACATATGCTCTCTCAACTAGGTTCAAATCATTGATCATGTGTCACAACACAGCGTCTAAAGAAAATCAGTAAATCACATCATACATAGGCTTTATCTTTGTGGCTGTGAATTTATTACTAAAAAAAAAGTTGGGAACAAATTCAAAATTAAATTGATGGTTTTAGTTTGTTAAAGACAAGTTTCCTGCTGTCCAGGTGGTATCACTCCAGTCTGTCCCGTGTTCAGGCCGAACACATGCTGATGCGTGTGCCCAGAGACGGAGCCTTCTTGGTGCGAAAACGCAGTGAGCACAACTCCTACGCCATCTCCTTCAGGTAGAACAGCAACGCACGTTCAAAGATGACAACGTGAACCAATCTGTTTTCTGCTCAGAGTCTGCCAACTGGAAAATGATGTCTCCTTGTTTTTGTAGCTATTTATTTTTCTGTGCCTGTGTACAGGGCGGAGGGTAAGATCAAACACTGCCGCATCCAGCAGGAAGGCCGTCTCTTCATGTTGGGCAGCTCGGCAGAGTTTGAGAGTCTTGTGGATCTGGTGAGCTACTATGAGAAACATCCCCTGTACCGCAAGATGAGACTCCGCTACCCGATCAATGAGGACACTCTGGACCAGATGGGCACCATGGTGAGTTCTCACTCCAAACTAATATCCCTTAAAATGTCATTTTACTCAATACATACACTACACATTCTGAATATATTAAACTTTTAAAGATAATCAGAGAAGATCTGACTCTTTTTAAGAAGTAACCACCATTATTTACTTTGTTTTCTCAGGAGCTTGACTATGGAGCGCTGTATGAGGTTCGCACTCCTCATTTCTATGTGGAGGCCAATAAGATGCCCACAGCACGGGTGAGTGAGACTAAGCACACCCTCAGGGAGTTGTCCTGTGGATCTCCAGTTTAATCAGTGATTTTAATACCTTACTGTATAATTTATTGAATGATTACAATATTTAGTTATTTATATTGCTATTATGGAAATATAGATAATTAGACTGTATCCTCTGTAGGGTCACAGGAGGCTGGAGCTCATCCCAGCTGACTTAGGGACAGATGAAAGATGGCATTAACAATAGTTCAAGCCTGCAGTGCAGAACTTCTGTCTCCCCCTTTTGGCAGTGAGAGTGATAACACAAACATTGTCCATGTGTGCTTAATAAAACATGTGCATAAAAAGTCCTCACCGCCACCCATTCTCCAGGTTCAAATACAAAAACATGAGTTGAATTTAGAAGAAAATAACAAGTCACCCAGGCCTTTATGTCTTTAAGACGTGCTTAAAGTTTGGCTTTGATTTGTTTCATCTAGCTTCATAGATAGATGTAGCCACATACACTATATTGCCAAAAGTATTTGCTCACCCATCCAAATTATCGGAGTCAATGGCCACAGGTGTATAAAATTAAGCACCAAGGCATGCAGACTGTTTTTACAAACATTTATAAAAGAATGGGTCGCTGTCAGGAGCTCAGTGAATTCCAGCATGGTACTAAGTCCAGTCGTGAAATTTCCTCGCTCCTAAATATTCCACAGTCAACTGTCAGCTGTATTATAAGAAAATGGACGTGTTTGGGAACGAGAGCAACTCAGCCACGAAGTGGTAGGCCATGTAAACTGACAGAGCGGGGTCAGCGGACACTGAAGCACATAGTGCGAAGAGGTCGCCGACTTTCTGCAGAGTCAGTCACTGCAGACCTCCAAACTTCATGTGGCCTTCAGATTAGCTCAAAAACAGTGTGTAGAGAGCTTCATGGAATGGGTTTCCATGACTAGCCATACATCACCAAGTGCAATGCAAAGCGTCAGATGCAGTGGTGTAAAGCACGCTGCCACTGGACTCTAGAGCAGTGGAGGCGAGTTCTCTGGAGTGACGAATTGCGCTTCTCCATCTGGCAATCTGATGGATGAGTCTGGGTTAGGCGGTTGCCAGGAGAACAGTACTTGTCTGACTGCATTGTGCCAAGTGTGATGTTTGGTGGAGGGGGGATTATGGTGTGGGGTTGTTTTTCAGGAGCTGGGCTTGGCCCAGTGCGCAAAGCAAGGTCCATAAAGACATGGATGGCAGAGTCTGGTGTGGATGAACTTGACTGTCCTGCACAGAGTCCTGACCTCAATCCGATAGAACACCTTTGGGCTGAATTAGAGCGGAGACTGAGAGCCAGGCCTTCTCGTCCAAAGTCAGTGTGTGACCTCACAAATGCACTTCTGAAGTAATGGTCAAAAATCCCCACAAACACACTCCTAAACTTTGTGGACAGTCTTCCCAGAAGAGTTGAAGCTGTTGTAGCTGCAAAGGGTGGACCGACTTCATATTGAACTCAATGGATTAGGAATAGGATGTCACTTAAGCTCATATGTGAGTCAAGGCAGGTGAGCAAATACTTTTGGCGATACAGTGCATTTACAGTTGGAAACAAGAAGGTACATATACCTGTAAAGACCATGTATGTGGCAGCCTTCAATGAATTTCCAATGATTCCTATAACTTTCTATGATGGAGTCATTGAAGCATATGAAGTCACTTTGTCTATGTCATAAAAAACAATCATGCATTTAGGTTCTTTCTAGATTTATTGTACATCTTCTGGAAATATGACAAAATGGGCTGATTGTGTTTTTGAATTCATGATTGTTTTTTTGTGACAAAGACACGTTTCAATGATTCTGTCACTGACAATTCAAAGTAATTGGAGTTATTGGAATATCAAGACTGCCATGATATACATAGTCTTTACAAGTGTATGTAAACTTTTGTTTACAACTGCATAGATGAAGTCTTGCACTCCAACTTTCAAATACTTTAAGTTTAAGAACTTCAAGTAACTTTTGCGTCCCCAACTGGCAGCACCTAAAACACATTGTAATGTAAATGTGTTCTTGACTTAATTACAGGAATACATGAAGTGTGTCTCATTGCCTTATTTCACATTTGTGTGGATGGAGAACGCTGCAATAGAAATAAGACACCACTCTGTATTAGAAATCTGCTGCAAACTGACAGCTGTGTTGTCATCAATAAGTGACATTCCTCTCTGCTTGCATGTTTTTCTTCAATGAGGGACTGCTATAGTTTAGTTTGTTGTACCTCATTTACAGTGACTATACACAAAACAACCACTGGGCCAGAGTTAGCATAGGGGAAGGTGTTAGGACTAAGATGAGAAGATAAGACACAAGTGAGGGAACAAGGAGGCGTTTAGATCAAATGAGAAGCAAACCTGAATATAACATAATATTTTGAGAGATGCAACTTTTGTTTTTTATTTCTTTCACCACCCATGACGTTGTTCCTTGCTGCCATGTGTTTCAGTGTACAGTCAAAGCTCTGTACGACTATCGAGCTCAGAGGGAAGATGAGCTGTGTTTCCCCAAACAGGCGCTCATCCTCAACGTGGACAAGCAGGAGGGTGGCTGGTGGGTGCTGCTCAGAGTACATTTGGCTTCTAATATGTTTTGTATAAAAGCCCGTCATTGAACTGTGTGATGTTTTTAGGTGGCGAGGCGACTACGGAGGAAAGAAGCAGCTATGGTTCCCTGCAAACTACGTGGAGGAGGTTCCCAGCTCTCCCACCAGAGAACTGGATGAAGCAGTGAGCTCTGTTTCACACACGAGTGTCAAAAGACTGTCATGCATTCATAATATGAAAATTGTCCTAAAAATGTGTCTTTTGTGTTGTTTCAGTCCACAGAGAACAGTCCTCTGGGTACCTTCCTCAAGGGCTTCATTGATGTCCCCACCTGCCATGTTGGTGAGTAAACAGACTTTCTTAAAGTAGAGGTGATGACCAGATACATAAAGATAATTAGAAAGAGACTGAGCCAATCGTTAAGTGGGATCAGCTAACTGTGGATCTAAATGATGGAGTCCAACCTAATTATGGAAAAGCAAAGCAGAAAAATTGCGTCCTTTGTCTTGGAACTGTCTAACAATATTTCCAATATGCGAAATATTTCCACAATGAACTGTCAGATTAGATAAATATTGTGTAACATTTAGAATTTTTTCATATTCGACCTGTTCTCAAAGCTGATATATTCCACATCCAGTAACTTTGGTCCAGGTGATGTTAGAACAATCAATTTACTACTGAGTTGGTTTAGAACTTCAGTTTACTTTGCAGAAGATTTGTAAATGTAATTTGTCACATTAAACTATGTGTCATTCCTCCATTGATCCATCCAGTGGTGCATAAAGACGGGAAGAATTCGCGACCCTTCGTGTTCACGATCCACTCCCAGCAGCTCTCCTCTCACCCGGTCCAGACTCTGGATGTGGCAGCCGACAGTCTGGAGGATCTCACCAGCTGGGCCAGCAAGATCAGAGAGGCTGCACAGAACGCTGATGCTCGGGTCAGTGCGACGCTGCACAACACACAGACAACACATCAGTTTGACATTCCCGAAGATTTTACTTTTATCAGCTTTACCTGCTTACTTAATCGCTAACTCACCTGCAAGAAGGTGGTTGTGTAGATTTTCAGTCATCCACCTCATGGTACTCTGAAGTGCTTCAGAACACATTTAAACTTTTTTTGGTTGTGAAGATACTTCCTCATTTGTTGGGCAGACCCACTTCACATTTCATTTATAGTTGTTACGTTGTGGTTGTCTGATCTCCATGGTAACAGATGCAGGAGGAGAAACAGATGGAGAGGAGGAAGAAGATTGCGGTGGAGCTGTCTGAGCTTGTGGTTTACTGCAGACCTGTCCCCTTCAACGAGGACAGTAAGGATCAAACTCCTTCCATTTTTTTCACTTCTCTAACATCTTCTGTATGTACTCGCATCTCATTTCCTCTTTAATCTGCTGTTATTTACAGAAATCGGGACGGAGCGGGCGTGTTACCGGGACATGTCTTCGTTCCCCGAGACGAAGGCAGAGAAGTTTGCGACTCGAGGCCGGGGGAAGCGCTTCCTGCAGTACAACCGCCGCCAGCTTTCCAGAGTTTACCCCAGAGGACAAAGGCTGGACTCATCCAACTACGACCCACTGCCCATGTGGCTCTGCGGCTCCCAGCTGGTCGCACTTAATTTCCAGACTCCAGGTCAGTTTGTGAGTGAGATGTGTAAGTTTACATGAGACAAGCTTTTCTGTTCATAAAGGGACAAAATAATAATGCCATACTTCATAAAAAAAAGACAAAACTGAAGTTAAACGTCTCACATTTTTTATTGTACAAAAACTGAAAAAACCTGGAATCAACATGTTCAACTGGAAAGAAATGCTGGCTCTGCATGCTGTTGATATTTAGCTACTTACTTTCTACATTTGTTTTCATACTTGTCTCTTCAAGTATGATTTTTTTTGTAATGTGACTGTGGGTTTTTTTTTAAAATAAAATCTAAGTTTACTTTTGGCAATTTTTTATATTGAGGAATGCACAATAAAGTGATTAGATGTAGATAAAGTGAAGAAATGTCACAAATTTAAGCTTAGACTTTGGTTAAGTCTTGTAATGAATTACATTATGCACATGATTAGTTGAGGACCATTGAAAGGTTCAGTTATTATTTTTGCAGTTTCTGACTCTGATCAATGGTGTAATTTTTGTGTGTGTGTGTGTGACACCATTCACATGATAAGAAGAAAAATGTTGGTGTCAAACTGATCACAATCTATCGACATATTCAGTGCATGATGGCTTTTTCTTAATGAGCAACAAGACAATGTTATTTTAGGAATATCTGTCTTTGGGTCCTGAAAAGGACACAGCTCAGTGTGTTGGTTGGAATCTCAACACCGACACTGTTAGCTGTGAGATATCTAGAAAGGTGTGTTCAAATGCATATACAAATAATGTGAGTCTATTTGTAGATAAACCCATGCAGCTAAACCAGGCCTTGTTCATGCTCGGAGGTGGCAGCGGCTACGTTCCCCAGCCTGACATTATGAGGGACGACGTCTTTGACCCTTTCGACAAAGACACGTTGCATGTGGAGCCAATCACCATCCAGTTACAGGTCAGATTAACTACAAAGGGCATCATCTGTATTACTAGAGTAATCCATTACCCGTCCCTAATCATCTTTCCTTGTGTTGCATTTTCTCCTGTTTTCTCAAATCTTCCTCTTCCATGCCTCTTCCTCTCCTCCTGTATCAGGTGCTGGGAGCTCGCCATCTGCCAAAAAATGGCCGCAGCATCGTCTGTCCGTTTGTGGAGCTAGAAATCTGTGGAGCCGACTACGACAGCTACAAGTGCAAAACGGACGTCGTAGGTAAGACAACTGTGGCAGAGACAGTGTGAAATTTCAGGGCTTCGTGTGCGCTCGCTGCATGTTAACTATGTGTTCCTCTCGACCCTCCCAGCTGATAATGGTCTGAATCCTGTGTGGGTGCAGAGGCAGTTTGTGTTCGACATCCACAACCCCACCTTCTCCTTTTTGCGCTTCACTGTGTACGAGGAGGACATGTTCAGTGATCCAAACTTCCTGGCGCAGGCGACCTACCCTGTGCGTCTGCTGCGAACAGGTGAATGTACAGTTTTACCTACCACCAGATACAAGGTTAAGATTGTGCTTGATAATTGCATTCCATCTATTTCCCCAAATGCCTGATTTCCAAATGTTCCTGTCTTTATTCTTTGTGTTGAATTTGTTCATTCTACTTGTTGTGTGTTGCCAGGCTACAGGAGTGTACCGCTTAAGAACAGCTACAGTGAGGAGCTGGAGTTGGCATCGCTTCTTGTTCACATAGAGATCGTCAATGCAAAGGTACTCAACATTTTTCCTCCATATTGCTGTGGGCTGGATTACAAACATAATCTTTTCTGATAAATCACAATTTTTAGAACAGATTCTCACAGTCCAGGGATCAATGTTTGTATTCATACTTTTCCTCTGAATTAGTGAGCTCACTTTCAGTTTCTCATGTAGACCTACAAACTAGAGGGATCATGGCTTGTTATTCAGTCTAAAAGTAGAGGAAACTGAAGAGTTTACATGGGTCATCATAAGGAACTATTGATACTTTTGCAGAACTTGGCAGTGTTTAAACAAGTTTTTATTTTACCCTACCGTAGCTACGAGTTGAGTTTACATGGGGATTGAGGTCGCACGGTCTGCCATCTTGAATTGCAAACATGTGCAACTGCCTGTGCCCACGATATAATGGTCAGCAATTCCTGTGGCTCCGCCCAGTTTGCCACTAAATTTCCATGCCAAAACCATTATGGGCCAAATTTCAAAGTCACATTGTGACATTACTAGTGGGCTGTTGGTTGGAGCACTTTGCCACCAACTAGTAGACCATAAACACTTATCAAAAAAACATAAAACTCAACTTTTGATTTTTTGTGGTTTGGCCCGCTTTGGCACTGAACCCCTCATTTAAGAATATTTAAGGTCGTCGGTTTGCGTCCTGGTTAGGACACCCGAGATCTTTCTGCGTGGAGTTTGCATGTTCTCCCCATGCAGCGTGGGTTCTCTCTTGGTTCTCCGGCTTCCTCCCACACAGTCCAAAAACATGTTGAGGTTAATTGGTGATTATAGATTGTCCGTAGGTGTGAGTGTGAGTGTGCTTAATTGTCTGTCTCTAAGTGTAGAATTAGAATTAGAATAGAATTAGAATAAAACTTTATTAGTGTAGCCCTGTGCTAGACTGGTGACCTGTCCAGAGTGTCCCCTGCCTTCGCCCTAAGTCAGCTGGGATAGACTCCAGCCGCAAGGAGTGAGAATTAAGCGGTGTATAGATAATGAATGGATGGATAAATTTATATCACAACATGAAAGTCATTTTTACAAAAATGACAAAACAAAAAAAGCCAATAGTCGGGATGGATATGAGGATTAATGTTTCAAATCGCTTTGGAATGAATTCACTATCAATTCACTTCTTGATGATTGAGTTTCATCCCAAATACCAGCAGCCAGGCCTGCGTAACAGTAGAGTAAATATTAGTAAAAGACTACTGGCAGAAATGTCAGTTATTATGTGTATTTTTAAAAACAAGGAAAGCTGTCATGTAGAACTCTGCCAATACCAGATTTTCTATAAAGGCCTCATTTTACATCCAAATTCATGTCACTTCTCGGTTATTTTTCCTTGAAACATCACAGTTTTATAATGCAAAGTATTTTTTCCTGCATCTCCTGTCAAACTAAACTGTGCTTACTTTGTACAGACTATAGTTGTTTATGTCACAGTTTGGACTGTTGGGATTCAAGATGGACAATGTGGCCAGCTATCATCTTTATTACTTTTTTTTTTTTATCTTAAAACAACCTTCCTGTGCAAGTTGTTGTAACTCAGCTTCAACAAAGCAGATGTTTTAGACATCATGAAGCCATGAGAACGTGTCCACTGCATACAAATACTCATTAAGATCAAATCTGCATAATTTGAAAATCCTTTTTGTTTAATCTACCCCTCCTGTTAAGCATTAAATCATTAAACTGTTTTCAGAAGTAAAGCAAAGATGTTGATTTCTTTCTCTCTTTTTGAACATTTTGCATGAAATAATTAATTTGGACACTCAATAGAAGATAGAATCCATCCATCTCTAAGCACACAGTTACACACCTGCCTTGTGTAACTGCTGTTCTCTCCATCCACACTGTTGCTACAGGAGGAAGACGATGAGAACTTGTACACATCCATCCAGCGGCTGCGGGATCGAACCAGTGAGCTGTCCAACCAGGTTTCTCTCCTGGAGAGGTCAGGCTCAGCAGACATGAGCTACCAGCAGAGCCTGGAGGAGCTGCGAGCAGCTCAGGATCAGCTGAGCGAGCTGGTGGAGGCTCGAAACCGCAGGTGACTGAGAACACAATGAAATATATAGTGACTGATCTGTGTAAACATCAATTTAAATTGGAGGTACTTTTGGTTAGTGCGACAGAAATATTGACAATGTTTAGAAAAGGGGTACAGTATTTAACTTTCTGAACTCCGAGCAGTTTCTGAGCATTTTTTGCTGCTGTCACATTTCTACTTGGATGGTTAAGCTATAAGCCCTGTTGACAGCTATATAAGACCAATAATTCAAAACTGAAAGACTGAAAGAAAATGCACCCATCTTGTCTGTCGCAGCTTTAACTTTAATCTTGTATTTAACACTTAACAGATAATCCCAAAAGCAATTTCATCTAACACACAAAATGATATTTTTTCCAGGCTGATGGAGAAGAAGAGGAGGGAGAAGCTGAGGCAGCAGGTGGCAGCAAAGCGCAGTTAATCCTCCCAGAGAGCACTAAACTCACCACAAAGCGTGCCTGATGAGCTGTGCAGCGACAGCCTGACAGAAGCAGGCTCTACAGCAGCGACATGCAATCCGTTTGTAACTCGAAAAAACAACACTTGTTCCCTCACAGTAAAATGTGAGTTATCATAGCACCATTCTGTGCTAACAGCAGACTGAGACAGTGACAAACAGAAGCATCTCATGGACTCAACTGACACAAAACTAAGCTATAAAAACAATCATGTACTAAAGGCTGAAACACATCAGGAGCAAATTAGTGGAAGGGCTTCTTCTGACGTTTCCATGAGAACAGTACAGACTGGAGGGATCAAGAGACGAGCTGAAATGGTTGGTTAATTTTTTTTTAGCCAAACAAAAATGTCTGATGGTTTTCTGATGATTTGCTGCATTTCTTTGGGTTATGAGATATTCGTTTGAACATTTTGGACTGTTGGCCAGAAAAACAAGCTGCTTAAAAATGAAAAATTAAGTGTACTTTTTGCTATTTTCTGACAGCTCATGCATCTATCATAAACTCTCATAAAAGATTCTGCTAACTAAATCCAACTACAACAAAAAAGTCTATTTCAAGTTTTTCAGCATATTCTGTAAATTTTGAACCAAAAGATATATGACGTCCAACAGAAACAAATACATATAATGAACAGAGTAAACCTGTTTAGACAATTCTGTTTTCTCTTTGGCCTCTGTATAGCTGTGGTTGAGCTCACACTTTGAAATAGATAGTGGAAGGAAAACCACAATATTCAATAAAAAAAAAAAAAAAAAGCAACTGGAAGGAAACTGAGAGCTCATTAAATTTACTCTTTCTGTGTTTCAGGCTTTAGTAAGAAAAAATGGATTAAAAGGGAGACAAAAACTCAGGTTACACAAATGTAGGATGGTGAAACAAAAAAGTTAGATATCTGGATGGAAAAAGGGAGCAGTGGGCACACGTAGCAAAAAGGAAATATCCTGTATGTGCCTTTGTTGTCATGCATTGTAGAGGATAGTTATTCATGTGTTTAAGGAAGTTAAAGAAAACAGACTGCTTTCTTTATAACTGGAATAGTTGCCTTTTACAGGAAAACAACTAAAAACTGGGGAGGTAACATTTAGTTCAGACCACTACTCAGAAAATGGGTTTCAGGCGAATTAAAGACTAAAGTTTGGTCATCCTAATCAAGACCGAGTCTTTTTTGGGTGTTCACACGAACTCTGCCTCTGGGTGTTGGAGGCTCCGATCACAGACCTTCCTGTTCTACATAGGAGAGCACAAACTGGACAAACTGTGTCAAACAAATCTCATTCAAACCACACTGAGAGGGTTTTTTAATACTTCTTCTAAGGGCTCTACATTTATCTATACTACCTTCAGAGAGGTGTGAGAATAGCGAGTGGGGGTGGAGATGGGAAAACCCCCTGGATGTCACCTGCACTGGGGCTCAGGTGTGTTAAACACACACACACACATACGACAAATAAGGGCTATCACAGAAAACTAGCAGAGCACTGTTTATACCTGCCGGCTCAGACTTCATGCCTCCTAACTGAACCACGTGACCAGGATCAGTTCCCATCGTCGCTCTAATCAACGTGTGGCTCAACTGGTCCTGGATCTGCCAAAAGCAGCTTTGATTTGACCCACTGCATGGCTTCATATCCCCCCCACCCTGTAGCTACTTCATCCCCTGTCTAATTTCTCATTGTATATAACTTCTTTTATTTATCGGACAGGTGTAGAAAAAAGACCCTGTTTTAATAGATGAAAGAACATATTACAAGAACGGTAACGGACTTCAGATTGAAGATACTGTAACTTTATGTAGAAATTAATATTGTGTACCTGGAGCTCCCTTTAAATGTTCCCATAGACACAAACCTCTCTCTTTCTCCCTGCGCTGCAGTCGCACTGGGTAGGGACTTCTATGCAAAGGTCATCCTCTTGACCTATAGCCATCGTGTATTAGGCAAATTGATGAACTGAAGTTGTGTTTTCTCTCTGTACCTATGCTGTCCAGTGTTATTACTCTGCATTACAAAACCTGTGCAAGTTTCCAGTTAATAAAGCTCTTTCATGTACTTGTGAGTGTGCGCTTTTCATTTCAAGATCTCATCAAATAAATAGGTAAGTTCAAAAGTGAAGAGACAATTAAAAGCCATTTAATTTAATAGGCAGAACAGTAAAGTCAGGATATCTCAGCCAGTGTGCCATATTTTAATAACTTTGTTAATACTGCAGCACATGTGGACAACAGACACCACATTAAATCTGGTCTATCTTACACTATACAGCAGGAGCACACCTCTGTGCATCATTTACACGCTAAATGATTCAAAACTATCACCTTTCAATAATTGCATTATTTCTAATAAGAAAAATATTACTTCCTCTTATGAACAAGCATAAATCAACAATTCAGCTTTAGGAAGAAGTTTGGAATTATACATGCTTGGGATAAGAATCTCTGTGTGTGTCCATCATCCACGAACATTTTAGATTCGATATGCTCTTCTTCAGTACTAGCCCTGATGACCTGGTGTCATAGACTGGGTCCAGATGTTGGGATCATCGCTCCAGTGATTCTGAATTTATTTATTCGAGGGTTTAAAACTGTTCAGTTAATTCCTGTATTGAAAATTCTGGGTGTCAGGGGGAGAAGACTGTCAAAAGGTCACAGTGAACAGTACAATCCTCTGTACCCCAGAGATGTGGTTATTTTTCACAAGTGACATTTTATGACCATTATCAGATTCAGGGGAGGCAGGAAACGTCCTGTTGTCTCCAAGAGGGGCGCGAGTGAATGTTTAATATGATGTTAACATCTGATACGTGGATGCTCCATCTGCTTGTCAGTTTTGGACTATCTGTCCTCTGAAATGGTCTCCTACCAAATTTAAGGCTGTGAGAAAAAGTCCTTGGATTCTCTGTGTTGCTTTAGAATGTGCTTGAATGTGAATTCTGCTCCTCAGTTCGCTACAGTAGTATGTGAGTTGGTCGTGCTGTGATACTGAGGGAAATGACACATTTCTGAAATATTCCAACATGCTTCAAACATCAGTTTATTTTATGCAATAATGTTATCACTTTTCATAATCCATAAATAAACTTTGTACACCTCAGAGATCAGGTGTTGCGAGCAGAAAATAAAACATAAACCTCTGGGGTTAAATATCACACAGGGGTCACATTCCAACCTTTTTAGTAATGACTAGTTATGCATTCATCTCCTATGTGTATGCATGTATATAAGCTTTGCAGAAACCTGCCCAGTGTCTGTCTGACTAAGCGCCTCAGATAACAGCAGGTTGAGGTGAAGAGGTTTGGCATTTAAAGCAGAGTGTTTTGACAAAAAAGACAATGACTTCGCTACAACACGTGAATCCCAGAGTGAGAGGAATCAGAGTGTCGCCACAAAGTGTGCTGCAAAGTCTGGCTGAGCGTATCACACAGGTAAGTGCCATTTTTGAAGATAGAGAACACCTAAAATTGAATAAAAACATCATCTGCAGCAAACCAACATTAAGAAGATCCATATCTCTTCGGATTTTAATGCACTTTTTTTTTTAAAGGGGAAAAACATTAAAAAGTATTTTATGTAATATTTTAAGTATTATGTAGATACTGTACATTTCTTGATTAAGGAATTGCCACCTACTCTCCCTTGCAGATCACTTTTAGCTTCGAGACACTTTAGGTTGTCTCTCAGTCTGCTTAAGTTTTATGTGTAGTAAAAACTAGCAGTGGATTATTATGTTAATGGTAGTTTGCAGCAGGGCTTGTATTTGCCGCTTCTTCTTAAAAAAACAAACTACATATCAAATTTTATTCATGTGAAATCAGAGATTCCACTTCATGCTTTCTGGGATTGTGGAAGCCAGGTGTTGACTATAGCGCTGAAATATATACTTTAATATATAATGTTTCCTGTTCCATTTGTGTTGTACGTAACAACAGCAATTTTGGTGTTAGAAAAAAAAAAGAGGTCAGAATTCAGTATTAACCAAATAAAAGACCATGATTTATTACAGAGAAGGCAAAAGGAAAAAAAAAAAGATTGTGTGCAGCAGAAATCTCGCATGGGACTATCCATAAGTGACAGATCTAACTTAGCTGGACTGAAGTAAATATTTACAATAAAAGCTTGTAAGAAAATGTATGTCTCTGTAGATTCATCAAGGTCAAGTATAAATAGAAGGCAACGGAACCTCTCTTTTTGGCTATTAAAGACATTTACACATGAGGCTTTGTCAGTTATAACTGACTAGCGGAGAGTCAAATGTATTTATTCTCACCCCTAAGTTGTGACTCAAGGCAGGTCAATGACCCAGAAGTCACATGAATCAAGGTGGGATTGGTGAACATAGACATTTTGGGATCCCAGAATAAATAGTTGTTTAGAAGAAGATTAAAGTGTACTTTTACAATACAAAAGATGTTGCTGTTGTTGTTGTTGTTGTTGTTATACTGCCTGGAGAGGGACTGTCTTATGAGTACCTGATAAGAGCTGATGTTGGCTGTGTTCTTTCGGAGATCAACAGTCCAGACTGGATGTGATCATTTTCTGCATTAACATTCTCCTGCAGGGGGTGCAGAAACCCTTTCAGGAGGTGATTGACCTTAGCTCAGGTGATCCCCACAGAGCAGGAATGAAACCCGTCTCATTTATTCGACAGGTTAGTTTTGTGCTTTTGCATGATTCATTTGACTTAAACGTTATGGAAACCATTCCTTTCACACATTTAAAGTGTCTGTTATCACGTATATTGTGTGATATGTTTTGTAGCCATGTTGTCTGTTGTTTGTTTGAATGGGATATGCTGTAAAAGACAGATATTGTTTTACCTCAGGAAAGCACTTTCTTGATTAAAAAAACTATGATGCTCTTTCTCCTTCTCTACATTGTCATCTGTAACGCTGTCCTGTTTCTCAGGTCTTGGCAGCGTGCTTATACCCTGAGCTGCTGGAAGATGAAAGCGTTCCTCTAGATGTCAGGCTGAGAGCTCAGAGGCTGCTGGAGGACTGTGCTGGAGGAAGTGTGGGTGAGGCTTGTGTAAAAGTTTTAGTGTGACTTTTAAAACTTGACAGAGTGACATTTAACTCACATGTATACAAATCACATGCCTTATACCTGGATTCATAGGTTCATACACTCCTTCCTCTGGGCTGCTTCATGTCAGGCAAAGCATCGCTGAGTTCATCACAAGACGAGATTTCGGAGTTCCTTCATACACCAAAAACATCTATATTTCATCTGGTTCTCATAGGGCACTGATGGTATGAAAATATTGTAATTATCACTATCATTTATTGTTATTTAATGGATAATTAAATGATTATTGTGACCATAATTTGTCATTTTGGCCATCATTTCTATCAGTTAAGGTACAATTGTGCTGACCAAAATAACTGCTGAGATCTAGGAGCACAGCGATGATGATGCAATCAGACAAGCAAAAATCCAGAGCAGTCACACAGTAAAGCTGCTTGTAAACAACACAATATGCCAAAACAGGGGTTCCCAGACTGCAGATTGGCCCTTGCAGAGTCTTTGAGTAACTTTAGGAGAAAAAAAAAATCATTATCTTCAATCAGTCAGACTTAAAGTGCTGCCAAACAACATGAAGCGCAGAAAGTGGGCAGATTTCTGACCGAATTAGTAAAAAAAATATTGTTGCAGGTGAACTCTGACCTCTGAAGATCTCCGGCTGTAATGCACTATTGTACTATGCCTTAGACATTTGCATATTTGAGTTGAGGGTGTAAACATTTTTTGTATTGCATCTTTTGTTACAATAGTTTACACTTAGCAAAAACTACAATTTTCATATATTGGAAAAACTACACAGTTTCATACATTTCAATTCTTG